TTTATTTCGCGCTTATTAGTTCACATGACCATTTTTATAGCCAAAATTATCAAAGGATAAAATTTTTATCTCGATTTTTATTCTATCCGCAAAATTTTGTTGCGAAAAAAAATTATTATTATTCCTTAATTTTAATTTAATTTGTTGTTTCGATGACTTTAGCATTTGAATTTATAATATATAAAAGGCAGATTCCACTTATTTTTCTCTTATCGTGAATAGTTTCTGTGTCAGGTGAGTTTTGTGGGAAAATAAATGAAGTGCCAGTTTCTGCGGGTGATCAAGTTTCGCTGACACACCAAAAAAAAAAAAAAAATCCACATGATTTATCTGTAGACAACTAAGCACAATCATCAATCCACCGTAGAATTTTAGTTTTCTCCAAATTTTAATCATAAAAATAATAGATTTTAGATTTGTGATTATTAGAATTTTTTTTTTTCAATTTTCAAAAAAAGTCTGAGAATGTACAATTTTTTTTTTTGGAAAAGGAAAAAAAAAAACTCCCACATTCGAGTGGTGTTACAAGGCTTGACGTTTTAGAGTGATTTCCATCGTCATTTGGACAATATGTTCCGGATCCTTAATAATAACGACAGTAAGCAGCATTAAGGGTATTACAAAACGCGCGACACTTGAATGCATGTCGAAGGGTCGGATCTCTTCAAAAGAGCATCTGAACACGAGAGAGCTCAACGTTATTATGAACTCTCACCCCTGTTGCTTTCTTCTCTCTCTTTTTTTTCATTTTCTTTCTCATTCGCACCTTTACCCTTGGTACAACCACAATTGACAATTCTATATCTACTAAAGCTTCACCCCCCCCCCCCCATTCTGAAAAATCTCGAGTGTATTGTATATATTTATACATCAGTCGAGTGTTTAGTTGGTAATGTACCCAATATTTCGAGGGGCGCGCTCTCACTAGAATAATGAATTTTCAAAATAAGTTTTGTCTCTTTTTATTCTAATTGATAATTTCTTTTCTTTTTATGTATAGAGGGTTTTTCTTTTAAAAAATTGTTTCTATGTTAGTAAAAGAATATTTCGAATAGGTGATTTTGTAAAAGGTTCTTTTGTACAAAAGTAGTAAAAAAAATACATAATTTCATTTTATAATCAATGATTTTTAAAGAAATATTTTTTTTGGAATTCTATAAATTTTTGTCTAAAAACTATTTTTATATTTATTGATCAACAAATTAGGAAATAATTTTTTTTCTGTCTTAAAAAAAAAAAAATTTGTTTTCTAATCGATAATCATAAACGTTGCAATATTTACAGGTTTTATGCAGACGTGATTTCCAAAAGTCTATAAAAAAGACAAAAAATTGTCATCTTCAAAAATAATATAGTCGAAAATCGAGTAATTTCCGGAGAATTTCATTGTTGAAAGAATAATGGAAAACATATAATGTTTCCAATGCAGTCAAAGATTATATATAGGATTAAGGATTTTAAATCCGTGTTAAATCTTTGGGAATAATTCACTCGATTTAGAGATTTGGACACGAGATTTTACCTGATGATGATGATGATGATGATGGTGGTGGGGGATTATATGATGTGAGAATGGAAAGAAAATAAAAAGAGGGGAGGATTTTTTCTGGTTTCATATTACGTCATTGTGCCTAGGGAGAGTCCTGGTGTAACATCCCATATCCCCAATGGGCAGACTCCAAACTGTTGATGGTAGTGGTGGTAAAATGTCTGTTCCTGCCCCTCGCGAAATTCACGCCTACAAACGTGCGCGTGCGTAACCCCAGGGGTCGTTTTCAAACGATCAAATGGTCCACGATCTAGATTTATTTAATTACACCGCCTCATCGCTTCGATTTAAGCGAGTAACCCACTTTTCTCGGGTGATTCAATTTCAAATTCTCTAGAAACGTTCATTGATTGTCGCAATTCTTCTGTTTATGATGATCCTTATATTGAGTTCTAGAAAAATTTCATAATTTCAATTTATTGACTTGTTATTTTTGATTCTCTCTCTGTTTACAATATTAAGGGAAGGGATCAGTGAAATTTTAATCTTTTTACGCTAATTTTTTTTTCTGTTAATTATTTAAGGACTAAAATTATTCTAAATTTTCAGGGTGTCAGGGCGAAGTCAGGGAACTTTTTAAAATTTTGCCAAAAATGAACATTTTTATGAATTTTTTTTTTAATTTTCGGTGCAAGAAAAAGTTTTATTATCTTAAAAATACTTTAATATTTGATATTTTTTCCTTTTTTTAATATTAAATATTTATTAAAGAAAAGTTGGAAAAAGTTAGGGAATTTTTTTGTACTTCTTGCAGGACACCCTGTTATTATTAAAATTTATTAGGAGAATTAATATTAAAAAATAAAAAAAGTTATGAATTTTTTTAGAAAAATTGTAATTTTTTGTGTGAAGGAGTTAAATTATTTACAAAATTTTTACTGGGAAAAACCGGGAATTTATATAATAAAAATTATCGCCACCCTCAATTATAGAAATTTAAAAAAGAAATTTTCGGTCAATTTTAGAATTTGTATTTTTCTAAAAAAAAGGGAAAATTTCAATACGATTGATTGTGTAGAATTGTAAAAAAATAAAAAATTACCGATGAAAAAGAATATAAAAATTATGGAAATTGAATTTTAAAAATATAGTAACAGTTAAATTTAAATTATTTACAGACGTAAAATTTTTTTTTCAACATACATATTTTTGAAACCTAAAATTGTATTCTATATGATAAAAAAAATTTTTAAATACATTTTTAATTATTTTACAAATTTTTTAAAATTCTTACGATTAATTGTTCAGAATCATGAGAATTGGTCAGTGAAAAATAATTAAAATTGTAAGAGAAATTCAAATTTTGTAATTTCTATGAATTTCGAATTCTTTTTTAAAAAAATTATTTGCTAAATTATAGTTTTTTTTTTAATTGGTTGAAATTTCACTACTCTCCTTAATTTCTTAAATATTGAAAGTGATTTATTCTTTTGCGAATGAGAAAAATTGGTTTAGAAAAAAATATTTGGCAAATTATTTTTGTTGTAAATTTTTTTTGCGAATGAGAAAAATTGGTTTAGAAAAAAATATTTGGCAAATTATTTTTGTTGTAAATTTTTTTTGTACTCGAATTAGATGAGAATTATTGTCAATTTGTAATGTTCAAAAGCTGACGATGCAAAGACACACGCAGTCTTATCGTAATGTTAAGTGAGAAGATGTTCTCGTCTGTATGGGAATGAGATTAGATCATGTAATGTCACAAGTAACATTTTTTTTTTCACAAGGAAAATTTTTTTAAAAGATGATTTAAAAAAAAATGTTATAATTATCAAAATTTATCTAACTATTGATAATAAATTTCAAAAACTTAATTAATATCGTGAATATAATTTATTCTCAATTGAAGAATATATTTTTTTTTCTAAAATCATACTTTTTATGAGAGCAATTAAATATATAATTGAATGATAGTTGTTAAATAATGATTAAGAGGATTTTGTTGATATATAAAGTAATAATCTCGTAAGGATGATTATTACGATGCAAGGTTTTGCAATAATTGAATGTAATTAGGTGCGTTTGATGACAGATGTAACCTGGCAAGAGCATAACGTGGGGAGTGGCCTATAATTTATAAACTAGGGGCTGTTTTGGGGTAATTGCAGATAACGATGGGGCGGACCGGATAACAAGCCGACATGGGAGTCACTGGACACCATGACACTCCACTGCGTAGCACCATAACCTTCCTGGCACTTACCCTGGCCCCCTGATATCTATACACTAGATGATGTTTCTCAATTATAATTTATTTCATATAAGGGTTATTATAATTTGTAATAATTTATTATTTTACTCATATATTACACAAAAGCTTTGTAATTAAAAATTTTCTTCTTTAAAAAAAAAAACAATTTTTAAATATTTTTCTCTAGTTTCTAAAATCTGTTTTTTTTCTAGATCGTTATCGGGGAAAAATTGGTGAATGGAGGAAAAAAAAAGGACGTGGGAAACTCGAGAGCAGGAAATCCGTTGATCGTTAATTTAATCTGTTGGCCATTATCCGCAAAAGGTGTCGAAGATCCATAAGATTAAGGAGAGGAATAATCATGATTCTCTTGGACACTCGATGGAGTTTTTTTTTTTTTTTTTTTTTTTTTTTTGGTATGAAACGAACGATTTTGCGCGAGCAGAAGGACCTCTTGATGCCCTGCAGGCAAGATGCGAACAATACGATTGGTTGGTGGCCATTGTTGGTAAGATTTCAATGGATATTACGACAATAAGCTATTGACAATGTGGAATATTGTTGGTACATATATGCGTTGCGCAAAGGGCGGGTTCCATGTATAAGCCTCTGCTTGACTGTACTTTTCACGCCCTCTCTCTCTCTTTCTCTCTCAGGGCTGTGTGTAATGTGAAAAAAAAAATTATTATTTTGCCATATACGCGTAACCCCTCCACAATATGTACGTAAATATGTTCCAACAACAGCTGTATTTGTGAGAGCAAATTTTTTCCTGCATGCAATTTATAAACTTTCAAATAGAGAAATTTGTTTTTTTCTATTTTGAAATTAAATTTTTGAAATCGAGGAAAAAGTCGGAAAAACTATACAGAATTTAGGGAAATTCAGGGAAAGAATCTTCAAATTACTTTGGAGAAAGAAAGAAAATATTAAAAAAAAAATTTTTAAAATGTTTAAATTCATAAAATTAATTTTCATATAACAAATTAAATTAAATTAAAATTTTGACACATTATAAGTAATTTAGATTCTTTTTCGAAGTGTTTTTGTCAATGTTAAAAAGAAAAAAAAAATTATTCTTATTGAGCAGATTTTTGAAAATTTAAAAAATATTTTCCTTTTTTTTTTTTTTTTGAGAAAAAAATCGGTTCGGTAAAATTGATTGTTTTCAAAAAAAATTTTAATATTTTAAATTTAAATCAATTTTAAAAAATGGAAAATAATAATTAAAAATGAAAAATAATTACGAATACAACTTCGAACTTGTATAACAGCCTTTATTTAATATAATGCATTTATAATAACATATTTTTCATTAATATGCATTTTATTTAACTGCGCATACTGACGAGTACGCCAGTACGATATATTGAATCAATTATCTTTGTTCTTTTTTATTTCTCAATCTTCATTATATTATATAATATATTTTTTTTTATATTTCTATATCATCGTGCCACTTATTGTTAAATTTGAATTTAGAGCAGTAAACCGGGCATTTCCGTAAATATTTTTTATATATATATATATAGTTTCGTGTCTTGGCTTCGCAGCAATGAGAATATTTTTTTTTTTTTTTTTTTTTTTGTTTTCGATCTACAATATAAGAAAGAAGTTTACGCAAAAATACATTTTTAGCATAATATATCAGAATTGAAATCACTTTTTTGAAAATTTATTTTAGAGTATAATAATTTATACACTAAATTATTATTTTAGTGATTTTTGAATTGACACTTTTTGCTATATATATGAAATAATTTCTTGAATTGACGAAAGACAACACTATTTGATCAATTTGATTTTTATTTATTTAATTAGAAGCCAAAGACTGAAAAAATGAATTTTTTTTTAAAGGCGATATTTGTTTTCCTTTCAAATCACTCACAAAAAGTGTTCTCTTAGGATAATTTTTTTTTTTTTTTTTTTTGACCACGAATTGACAACATTGATACGTTCAAAAAAATGATATAATTATTATACTTATACATATAATGATGTCGTACTTTAAATATAAGGTATATATATATACACACGATATTTTTTTAAAATTCACTTGGAAGACAGAAGTTTATACAAAATTTTTCCAGATAATAGTGCAGGATTTTTGAAATTTATAATTAAGTGATGATTAGGCAAATTTTTCAATTAACATTAAAAATAAACATTTTGTTTTTTAATGTATTAATTATTTCCTGCAATTTTCCGGAAATAATTTGTATACCATATATATATATATTTATATATATATATATAACTTGCATCAAGCAAGTTTTTTTTTATCTTGATATGCGTAGAAATGTATATCTCAATTATTCTCTTTATTTTTTAAATGTTGTACCTATAGAAAGATCACTTTACAAAAACTCTGATTTTAAACAATAACGTCATAAATATTTCTCTATTTTTAACGCACTTAAAATTTCTCCTTAAGAAATTTCATATATTTTTCATTAACGTTCAATTAAAGTAAAATTAATACTAAAAATAATATTAGTATTTTTATACGAAATCTTAAACTAATTATTTTTTTTTTATTAATTTAATTAGAAAAAGAAATTAAATATTGTCGAATGTTTACAATGATATATACAAATAGTAACTTTTTACTAATTTTTTATTATAAAACATTAAAATCGAAGACGAAGATATTTTTATTTTAAAAAATTTGGTGCGGACGTATTTTTTTTTATATTTGTGATTATTGAGATAAATAATATTTCTAGGTGGAAAAAAGTAAAATTATTATATAAAAGCACCAAATTCTTTAATATTTTGATTTGAATTTTTTTTGAATATTTTTATCAAGTTGCGACTTATATAAGAGATATAACTCGAGTCAATTGCAAGGTATATCATTCTTAATAATCGATATATTATAATTTCTAAAATTGAAATGGAATTAGAGAGTAAGAATCAAAGTATATTTAAATAATTTTTTAAAAAGAAGCTTTTTAATAACTAAATTCATATATTGCTATTAGAATGATTTCTTTTAAAATTATAATTAAATTAAAATTATTATGAGAATATTTAATACTAAATAGTAAAGGGAATTAAATTAACTAGTTTGAATATAATAAATATATCTATATAAATATTAGCTAGAGAAAATTAGCTGCCACGGGGGCATGTCATTTCATATCAATATACACGCTGCGATTATCGATCATTTTTATTCTCTTATATTCCTAACATTGTAGAAAACAGTTACTTCAAGATATTCTATATTTTTAACGACACAAACTTGATCTAAATATCGCTTTTGTTTTTTTTTTTTTTTTATGATCGAAATACGCATGAACTAATTGGTGCTCGTTTTTTTTTCCCTTTTTGAAAATTCTATCCATACAACCATAAGAGTTTGCGATTTACAAGGTCTCAAGCATTCGTAAAATATAAATTTTTAGTGAAGACTTGAAACTCTTTGTAATCTTGTAAAGACAAACTTATTTTTATAAAGGGTATATAACTATTTAAGATTAACATGATCGTTAGAGTTATGAGTCAATAACGTTGATAACGTATTAAAAAAAAAGTATTTCTTTTTTTTTTTTATTATTTTTAAAATAAATTGCGAAAAAAAATATTGATATGCTGTTACTTTGTGCGAAGATTAGAAAAAAAATGAAACGTAATATTTTAGTACCTACCCATAAGTGTATTATATATATTTTTTTTTTGGTGAGATAAATAATCTCTTATTATTTAGTGAACTTTTTAAGTTTCACTGTTTTTTTTTATATTAGATAAAAATCAGGACTTGATTCTCGATTTTCTTAATTCACGATTTAACGCAGTCATAAAAACACCTTACCAATGAAAATTTAGGTCATTATTAGTAATTCAAAATTAATTGTAAGGGAAAAATTTATTAATTATTAAAGAACATTAGAAATAAAAAAAAAGAAAAAAGAAAATTCCTGAAATAATAAATTTTTATAAGCTTTAGATCTCCTGAGAGCTACTGATGATTTTTTCTGATAGATTTATTTTTTAATTGGCATTTTTATATATACTTTAATTATTATCGGTGATTTGAAGTTCAAAAAAATAATTATGAAAAAAAAATAAATTAAAATAACGCCAATTATCAAAGATTTTGATAAAATACACCTAACTAGCGTCTCTATTTATTATTATTTTTTCTCTAAAAACAAGCATTCGTTATAGCCTTTCTCGTATAAAATTTTATACGTTATCAATGGACCTTTATATTGAAATGAATTAAAAATTATTTCACGGGAGTATATATTGATATTTTACTCCATTGTGTCATACTTAACTTTTTTAACTACAAAATATCGATATCCAGCATATCCAGTGACTGTGAGAAGAACAGCGGCTGCGAGAGTTGAACCAACTGCTATTGGTGCAGTTTCATCTTTTGAGACACGAGCATTTAATGTGTCACAATTATATTCAGCTGCAAAATCATTTGTCTTGAATTTGAAAGGCTGTAATTTCATCGCCCTGAAAAAATATTTAAATTTATAATTTTATCACTTTTTTTTTTTTTTTTTTTTTTTACAAAAATAAATAAAAATAGTTTCGATTATTTTAAAATTTATTACCTTAGAAGAAGGCGAGCAGTCATTTTGCCATAAGTTAAGGGAATAACTGTCTCTTGAGAACAAGAATAAGATTTTCCTACTGGAGTTGGGAAAAGCAAGGCAGTGTGCTTTTTATCTGTACTTAACCTTATGGTCTTATCTAAAAGAATATTGATTTTTTTTTTTATTATTTATTTAGAAACAAAAAAAAGTATAAATTATTTATTGCGTTGTCTATTTGATTTTTTTTTTTTGAAATTATTTATGAATTCGATATTAATTAAATAACATACTTGGCTGATCAATATGTTCAAAATGTCTGTCGCTTGTATTGAAGGTCAGCTCGATTTTATCGACATACCATCGTTCACGTCCTGGTGTCTATAAAAAATATTAATTAATTTAGAAAAAAATAGATTAGATTAGAGTTTAGAAAAAAAGGAATTTAATTTATGAAAAAATATGCAAAAAATTTACTAAAAACTAATATAATTTTAAATTAAATTGAACGATTTTATGACTTTTTTTTTATTTTACAGAATAACTTGGAAATTCAATACCTTGGCAAAACTCCACGATAGGATAAATGTTTTCCATCTTAAAGACATCTTTACTGTATTTTCATCGTTACAATCGCCAGTTACTTCTGCATCTGGAGGTATGTATACACTTGCCACCTATTTAAAAAAAAATAATTTTTCGATTAAAATTATGAATTCTTATAAAAATGTTTTTTTTAGTTTAGAAAAATTATTAATAAAAAAATTAAATTAGTTATTAGGCGGAAATTAAAAAAAGATATAAAAAAGCTATAAATATTGAAAAATAGAAAATATTATTAAATATTGAAAAAGAAGAAAATTGTAAAATAAAATGTTTACCTCATCTTGTCCGATCTTTGTGCGATAAGGAATATCGACTACAGCGTCAACTTGTAAAAGAATGCATGCACGTCCATTGCTACTATTAACACGATAAAGTGGTTGTTCTTCGGAAATTATTCTTTGCGTTGTTGTTGATTTTGGTAATAATGTCGTTGCAGCACTTGTCGCTGACGTTGACTTTAGTAATTCCAAATTTTCCACTGGCTAATTATCAGTAAATTATTATTATTTTATATTTATTAATAAGAATTCATGATTTGATTTGATAATTGAACATAAAAGATTTTTTTTTAAAATTAACAATTATAGTAAAACTAGGTCTCTATGTCTAGTATAATTATTAATTTAATTTATATTAACGTATACACGAGATTAGCGAAAAGGATGCAACCTGTTGTATGCAAGCCCTCGAGAATAGAACGAATTACGTGCCAAGGGAGTTGCATAATTTTCGGTAATTTCCGGCTCTGGAAACTGTATACATTAATTTATATTTTAATAATTTACATGATATAAACTGAAATTATTACAATTTAAAAAAAAAAATCCCAAATTCAAAATAAAATTTCACAATTTAAAAGAAATAAAAATAAGGAAATAAAGAAAGAAAAATAAAAAAGTATTTATAAAGTAAAAGAATAAAATTATAAAGTGAAAAAAAATAGAAAAAGTATTTAACAATGGGAAAAAAAAGTAATTTTTAATTATAGAAGTAAATTTTCTTTTTAGAATTTTTTTTTTATGTAATTTTGTTTATAATTTTGAAAAACTTACCCAAGCTTTCACTTTTGGAAGATTGTTCATGTCAATAATAACTTTACTTTTTCGGGTTGTTGTAAAGAAACGATCATCTCTGCCTTGAGGGAGAGATGTTGAACTGGGAATACTGAAGACAGTTCCCAAAAGACACCCTGTGAGAAAAATCTCTATTATATCTTTTTTAAAATTCATTTATTGTTTTATCATTCAAAAAAAGTTTCTACAAATACAAAAAACTTTTTAAATTAAAAGTAAAAAGGTAAAATAAAAGTGAAATTAAATTAAAGTACTGAAAATAAAAGTTGATTCTTGTTTTTTAAAAGAAAAAGTTGTGTACAATTGTAAAAAAAAAAAAACTCTACTTTACTTAAGAGTGGGTAAAAACTAAATTTTATTAACTTTAAGAGCTAAAATTTTTGACCTACTTTTTTCACATAATAAAAATCATAAAACACATTTGTTTTTCTTTATTAATTTCTCTTTTTAGAATACAAAAATGAAATATGAATTACATATATTTAATCCATTTTTCTAAAAGTAAATTTTCACAAAACTAGGAAATAATTACACACAGCTCTAAATTACTCGATAAAAATTATCCCTAAAAATTTATATTAAAATTTAAAATTTCATAAGAAACTAAATTTAGCTTTTCAATAAAATTTCGATCAATAATTTTCCTAAAGTGACAATTTTCGTAATTTAATTTTGAAAAAAAAAAAAAATTAAATTTTCAACAAAAGAGAAATAATAATAGCTTTGACTTTTAATTGTCTCGTTAGCGACCTTTAAATGTTACCATGTGTCGCTTTCAATTGTAATAGAACCTAATTTCAAAGTATAATAATTTAAAAAAATATTTTTATATTTTATTCCATTTTTTTTTTTTTTTTTATAATTAGCATTATTAGAGAAAAGAGATTCTAATTTATTGTTTACTTACATAGGTAAAATGTCTCTTTTGAGAAGATGTGGATGGCCATTTTGGAAAAATGTTCAAGGTTTTTTTGCGAGAGGAAAAAAGAGAGTGAAAAACGAAAATGGACACGATGGTGGCGTCTCAAAGTTCGCCGAGGTTCTGAGGGTGCGAAGTGTGCTACGATCAATAAGGGATGTTTTCAGCATGCGCTTACTCCACGCGATAAAGCCAATCCTGTATATAATGTTTCTTTGTAGATGACGTTGAGAGTTGAAACATTCTTGTTTATCGGTGAGTAACACAAATACTGTTGAATATTTTTCGACGACGCCAACGCGCAGTGACATTTTCTTCATTATAAGTTTTCATTCACACAAGATCGAAACCTCGTGGTGTATGGTGATCTACAAAATCTGCAAATCGACCCACGTTCTTGAATAACAAAAATTTAATTCCTTTCAAATGCAAATAAATAGTTTCTCCTTAAAAATAACGGACAAGTTGACATTCAAAATTTTTGTAGAAAGGTTAAAAAATAGGCTAATGATAATTAAACTTAATTTAGATTACAGAAGTTACATATTCACATTTATTAAATTTTATTTTCACTATTAGATCATTTGTTATAAATCAAGTTTATAAAAAGAGAAACAAAAACATTTTTAAAAAATTGCAAATTTTTTTAATTAATTTAAAATTTTAATTTCAATTAATTTTTACTATGAAGCAATGGACTTTTAATTTTAGTCTTGAAAAAATTTTAATTTCTATATAAAATTAAATTTTTAATCAAAGAAATTAAATGACTGAAAAATGATTTTTAAAATTAATAACTTGTTTTAAATTAATTTGAAAAAATTGAATTTTTTTTTTTTTTTGGTAGATTAAGATTTGATTTATTAGCGATTTCAAATTATTGATAACTTCTATAATAGATATATAAGAAATTGTTCAGAACAAGAACAATTTTCTAGATAATATTTTGCTGACGCATGAAGATGCAACAATTTAAAACACCCACGATAAACACTTCCGTCAGAAGTAAACGTATATGTTATACTTAAAATACAGTTTATTAAAAAGAGTCCTTTAAAACAATTGTAAAAATTTTATTTTGCTATACAAAAATCTTAAAAAGTCTTTCAAAATCGTAAACGACAATATAAACATATTTTATGAATTTCATGAATTTTATTTTTTTTTTTTTATTTACAGTTATTTATTTATGAATTTTTTTTTATTTATTATTAATTAATTTATTATTAATTTATTTATGAATTTTTTATTTTTTAAATATTCAGTTTTCTCAGGAAAGTTTTCTACTTAAAAATGACAGTTATCTATTTTTTTTTTATTACAAACGAGGGTGTATGTGAAAAATAGCCAATTTCAGTTTCATGAGTTTTTTTCTGCAAGAGGCAATTTAAGTTTTACGTTATACTTCAAATACAGAAAATTACAAACATGTCCATTTGACAAAGAAATAAAAGATGAGACATTTTTTTCAATATCGTTCGAACTTTAAAAAAAATACTACTGTTTCTTCGGCACGTGTTTAGAAAAAAAGAATATTTAAAAATTTTTCCAATTTGCTGCTTTTACTGTTAAATTGAAACTTTGAAATTAAAAATCATTGAAATTTTAATACTAATTGGAAAATTGAATTAATTTTAATTTTTAAAAATTTTCCAAAAGAGTATTAAAATTTTGTTTACAAAATGCTGTTAAATAATTAATTTACTAATTATTAATAATGTTATTAATAATAATTTTTATTTAAAATGCTATTAAATTAAAAATTGAAGTTTAAAACAAAAAAATCATTGAAATTCGAAAATTTGATTTTAATTTTTTAATGGAAAATAAATTTCCAAATGTTGAAATAATTGTTTATAATCATTTTAAGAAATTTTATTGTTTATAAAAAGAATTCGGAATATCAATAAAAATTTTTCGATTGTCAGCTCTGTAAGTAGGGTTGCTATCGTCTAGGGGTATTTCAACGATAAAACGGAAAACATACAATGAATTTTTACCCAGTGTTGAGTGAATAGTGTTATACATTATCGACATTCAAGTGCAAAACAGTAGATGACACTAAGTGTAAATAAATGCAATAAGCAGTAAGTAAAATATTTAAATGTCACGATAACTTATTTGATTGCAAATCACTATACAAGTTGTAACCATTTGCAAATTGTAATTATAAAAGTTTTTTTTTTTTTAAATCAAAAGCAAAAGTTTTCCAAGTTTTAAGATTTTTATTCATCAACGCATGTAAAGAAGTGTTTAATTGGAATTGATTATTATCTTGGTACCCGATACTATAATTGTAGCTAAAAAAATTACCGGTGCTAAACCGGTGTTAAAAAGAGGTTAATAATTGTTCTTTCATATGAAGAGATGACTAATTTAAATGTAAGAGTACATTAGTTATATAAATATTACAATTTTATTTAATATGTCTTTTTTTTAATTTTTAGGTTATCTTTTCTCATCGAGTTATTTCTTTGCTTTCACAAAAAAAATTTATTTCCATTACTTTGAAGAATTTCTACTCTACATTGCAACCAGAAAGAAAAATGTCATTTACCGAAGAAAAACGTAAGTATTTTGTTAATTTTGTAGAATCGACTTTTATTTTAATAAGGGAAACAGTTATTTATATTTTTTTTTGGATTTTATTTTATTATCACTAATATTCAATATTAGTAATTAAAGTATTTAATATTTTTTTTTTTTTATTATTTAATTATTTAAATATGTAATATTCTGTTTTTTTCATAGAAAAATTCCTGGCAATGTCCTCAGAAGAAAAACGAAAATTTTTCAAGGGACAAGTCGTGACATTAGATCAAATTCAAACATGGAATGAATTTTGGAAGAATAACAAATCCGATATTTCAACAACAACAGAAGAAGTTGAGCATGTCGATGATAAATTGTCAAATAAAATTTCCCTATGGCAAGGAGATATTACGTCATTAGAAATTGATGCCATTGTTAATGCTGCGAATTCGAGTCTCTTAGGTGGTGGAGGAGGTGACAAATTTTTGATATATATATTTTTTAGTCAACGTTGGTGGATTCTTTTTTAAAAAATGTTAAAGAATTAAAATTTCTAATAATTCAAATTAAAAATGTATTATTGTAACAATATTTTTATTTTCTATTTAATTTAGTTGATGGAGCAATTCATAGAGCAGCAGGTCCTACTTTGAAAAAAGAATGTGCAACTTTGGGAGGCTGTCAAGTTGGAGATGCAAAAATTACTGGCGGTTATAAATTACCTGCCAAGTGTTAGTTTAAAATAAAAATTACATTATATTAAATCATAATATTAAATTAAAAGATTATTTAATTTTATTTATTTTCATTTTAGATGTTATTCACACTGTTGGTCCTCAGGGTGAAAAGCCAGAGAAATTGCAAGAATGTTACGAAAGTTGCTTGTCACTTGTGAAAGAAAATAATTTACGTTCAGTTGCGTTCCCTTGCATTTCAACTGGAGTTTATGGCTATCCTCAAAAACCAGCAGCTAAAGTTGCTTTGGCTACTGTTAAAAAATTCCTTTTAGAAAATAACGATAGTGTAAGTATTTTATTTTTTTCCATAATTTATTTTTCATTTATTATAATTGATAATTTAATGTGTAATTTACAATTTATTTTGTAATTTATAATTAATTTTGTAATTTATAATTTATTTTATAATTTATAATCGTACAAAATCAAAATTTTGATTAATTTAATTTTATTTACAATATTTTCTTCTTTCAAACCATTTTTTTTACACTAAATATATATACGGTTCTATTTTATTAATTCAATTTAAATTATTCTTCAAGGCTTTAATTATTTTAATTTAATATATAGAAATAAAAAATAGGGCTATATTATAATTAATTTTATTTTTAATTCAATTTTCAGATCGATAGAATTATTTTTTGTGTTTTTCTACAAGAAGATAAGAATATCTACTTGGAAATGTTGCAGAAATATTTTGGAGTTAATTAAATGGGAAAATTTCATTAAATGTAAAAGCAGTGTGTAAGATTTCTTCGATGAAGCATTTTATTTTAAGACTGTCGTGTGTTATATTTATTCAAAAAAAAAAAAAAAAAAAATAATAATATATGGTCTAAATTTTTTAAAATAATTTGTATATTTTTCTGTATCCTTTATTTCAATAACATTGTTTATTTCTAATTTTATTTAGATTTATTATTTAAAATTTTAATTTTAAAGAAATATTTTCTTTAATGCGCCCTTTTGCAATAATTTACTTCTTTTTTTCAAAATTTTTTTTGTTTTAAATTTATTTAAAATATAACAGTAAAAGCAGAATTTGGAAAAAGATTTATTAAAAAATATTATTATTTACAATAATAATGAATAATACAGTAAAAAATTTGTAAATGACGATATTCATATTTGAAATTGCCGCGAAAAATGATGATTGGCTTGTGATTTGCGACTGCAGCGCTTGTGTTTCGTGAGTTCGCCGCTTCTTCTATGCCGACGGCGTCGCCATCTTGAAATATTGAGTGTTGTAGTAAAAAGGTGGGGGACGGTTGTTAATGTGGTGTATTTCGATCAGAAAATCTGTCACAAATGGGTAACTATTCTTAATATTTAACAAGTGTTAAGGTGAACCTTTGAATAAAGTCTCGAGGACGCGGTGAGTCGTTTTAATCGTGGGTACGAGTAGCCCTGTGTCAACGGTGGTCTCGTTTCGTTGTGAATTTATTGGCGGTGGGGCCTTTAATTGTTTTCCGGGCCCCGTATCGAGTAGATATGCAACATTGTTGTAATCAAGTGTATTTAACAATAGAGGAACGCGCGTTTTCGCGTTTTTCTTATCGTCGCATTCGCGTGAACGCGTGAAAAAGCCGCTTCGCGTATTGTGCGGCTCGGCCGTGAGGATTATATTTTAGCCTCGATTTCACGGACAGGCGGACGTATCGAGTCCCGTAATCCTGAATGGCCGCCGCTTTCTAGGTTACTGACAAACATCCAAGTTTTCAACTCAGCCTCCCGATGTTCAACTTCGGGGTTCGCGATTACCGTGTCACGGGTATCGGCAATTGTCCTACAAAAATTTGTTGCCTCTTTCGACACCTACATACAAAACGCTGCGTTCCCCAGCCCTTGCCGTAAGCAACTCCGCTGATTCCATCTCTCATATCAACCTTTGTAAATTGCCTGTTTCATTTTCCACCCTGTTTTAGAATATTCTTACGAGTACCCTTTCAAATAAAAACGTGCATGTTTCGTTATAATTCGTGTGTGTGTGTGTGTGTGCGTATGTGTGTATATATTTTAATTATCGTGTGTGCTTCTCTGCATAGTTCTCTGTTCATATGAATGTGCGTGTGTGGTAAGTACCAAAAAAGGGGTGGGGGTACACCTCGCGAGCGACAAGTTCTCGGCTTCTGTTTCTGTCACTGCCACCCTCTTTCCTACCCACAAAGTTTTTTTTTCTCTCTAATGTTCTTTCTAAAATTACATTTCGATTTCTTTAATATTTGGTGTATTTTTCTTAATGTGAGCTATTCACGTAACCTTAAAATGACGCTCGTTTATTGAAAAAAAAAAAAAACTTTTACCCCGAAAAGGAGTAATTTTTAGTCTTTCAAAGAGAAAATCGGCTTTCCTTGTAAGGAGAATTGTTTTTCCACAATTTCAAGTTGTGTCGACTCTCGGCGACACTTTCACAAACATTAGGAAATCCTTATTTTGCTGTCAATCCGTTAAATACATTTCTGTTATTGTAGAAAATTTTTTAATATAATCTATTATAATTTTTGGAATGAATTCAAAATATAAATTCGTAAATTGCAAGAAGTGGACTTTTCCAATATAACCTCAAAAACGTCTTTTTTTTTTTTTTTAATCGCTAAATTGTTGTGGTTTCGAGATAAAATGTGTTTTAATTTCGGATACAGTTTTTAAATGAAAATAGGAAATGTTTTGTAAGATATAATATTATATAAAATTATAAACTAATTTCTTTTGCAACTATGCTTTGTGTGTCCAACTTTGGTCATTGCAGAAATTATACAAGTACATCTAAAAATATCCCATAATGACCTACTTTCTCAATAAGCAGGAATTAATTATGCACTTGGGATTGTTTACTCACCAATGTAATCAAAGTTTTGATTTCGGCATATTATTGTAATTTGTATGTTGATATTTCATTAATAAGAAATGGTTTCTAGAATCTTAAGTCCTAATTTCTCTGTTATTATTTTATTTTTATTAAATTAAAATTGATTATTAATTTTTTTCAATTTGGAATATAAATTCTTTTCGCTTCGTTTAACTTTCGGTTGTTTTTTTTCTTTCTTTTTTGCAATATATTCGGCCCAAGGAATAAAATAGACCTTGGACACATGATTCTTTCGACCACATGTCACACACCTGTTACATCGTAGGGTTCTCCCTCGATTCAATAATTACTTTGAGAATAAAAAACGACCTTTTTTATATAATATATATATATTTGCGATTTTATATATGCGGGCAAAAAAAAAAAGAATTCTATATTTTTGTGTACTATTTTTAATAATTAATTATTTAATTCGATTTTTTTTTTTTTGAATTGAATGAAAAATATTAAATTATTAAAAATGGTTATAATTTACTCATATTAAATCACAATACACAATGATAAGAATGTATTAAGTTTGTAGAATTTCACAATTTTCAAGATTTAACAAATTATTGTAAATTTTTGTGCATTGATGCTGATCTCTAATTAAATCTGTAGGAGATGCTTTTATTTCCTGATGATTATTAGTAATGGTTAAGAGTTAGCAGCGGGCGTGCCATCAGGGCTTTGCTTGGCTTGACCTCCTTTTGATAATGTTTCCGCATGCGCGTTTTAATGTATTTTGTCTTCTCATTTATGTACTAGAAAACTTTATATCCCTATGTCCACTTTTGTTATATATCCTTAGTGTATAATTTTTGTATCAATAAAAATTTAACAAAATTTTCTGAAAGCAAAAAACAAATTGACAAATTTAAAAATTTAATTTTCATTGTAAATTAATTTTTATTCGAATAGAAAAAAATTGAATTTTTTTTTTTTTTTTTGCTGGACAATTGGATAAATAATATTTGTTATATCTTGGCAATTGTGGAAATTGAATGAAAATCTTGATAACATTTATGTAATAGGAATATCATTTTTTTTTGTTGAAATATCCACTTGAGAATTATTAACGCGGAAATGATTTTTATTTTATTATTTTAGATAGAAAATAGTTTTTTTTTTTTTTTGTTTATAGAATTTTTTATGTGCCCAAGTAATATAGTGCTATGCGTGCATCAGTGACCCCCATTGAAGTAATTTAGTGATTTAGATTCCAGTTTAAGGAAGCACGTTGTACTTTCGCTTAATTGATGACTTTAACTCACTTTACATTACATTATAAGCATCCACATTTCCAAGTTTAACTAGATTGAATTTTTTCTTGTTTTCTATGATCCCATCTTTTTTTTCAAAATTTAATTTTTTTTTTCTAATTCGAAAAATTGAATATTTTAATATTTTTTAATAAATATTTTTTAATAAATATTTTTAATAAATATTTTTAATAAATATTTGCAAAAAATATTTTCAATGAATATTTGTAATAAATATTTTCAATGAATATTTGTAATAAATATTTTCAATAAATATTTGTAATAAATATTTTCAATAAATATTTGTAATAAATATTTTTAATGAATATTTGCGATAAATATATTTTTAATTAATATTTTTAATTGCACTTTTGCGATAGTTTCATTTGAACTTTAATTAAAAGGATAATAAAAAAAAAAAAATAAAAAGTTAAAAGACATATTTTCAAAAGGAGTCACTGTCGTTACACGCGAGTCAACATCATAATCATTTTTTCGCGGCATCATAAAACATTTATTTTAGACAGACCTTCACCCGGAAGACATTACAATCATTCACCTAACGGTTCAGCAATTACACACACACATAGAATTTTGCACGGAGTTACTCCCTGTTATATCAAAGATGACTCTTTTGTCATGTCGATCATTCATCAAAACGAATCTACGTCATTTCAAAATTTGTTATTCAAAATTCGTTTTTCAAGAAACCATTTTTCTTTTTTGCTTTTTTTTTAAATAAATGATACACACAATTTTTTTATCATTTATAAAAAAGGCAAAAAAAAATTTATTTTGCTCGTATTTTATAAATTTAGATTTTTGATTATTTAAAAAAAAAATATATATATATATATCCATATGCACTTTAGAAATGAAACTAGAATATTTGGTATCCCGGACAGATAAATGTGTGCGATCTTTTTTTTTTTCTCATATATAGCTAAAGGCAACGTTTTGACGCCCTCCTGTTTTCATTCTATTTTCGGAGAATATTTCTTCTTCATCCAACTTTCTCAAAATTGTATTACATATTTTCGTGAGGGAAATAATTTCCGGAAATTCTTCAAATGAAATTTCATTTATTATTTTATATAAATAAAATAAAATTTATTTTTATTATTTTATTTATTTTCGTTAAAATTGTCTTTAAAATTCATGATTTTAATTTGTGAAATATCGAAAATTAATTCCCCCAGAGTTTATTTGAATTTTTTTTTTTTCTGATCTGACGGAAATTATGAATCACAATATTATAATGGAAATTATATTGAGAAGGGGTCATGTGCGATCATCTTCAGAGACCATAAGAATTGAATATCCTCTGAAATATGATATTAATTGTTATGAATTAAAATGATGGTTGTATATATATATATATTTGCTGGATCGACAGACAGCCAGTGTTGTTGAATCAAATCAACTCACGACCAGGATGACTCATATCCGCCTACCTGTATCTTCGAACCTATTCGTCGGTTAACCTGATGCAAAATACAGTCTTCTTCTTTTTTTTTTTTACCACAAAAGGAATCCCTTTTACTTACTTGAATTTTAACTATTCGAATATTTCAAACAAAAATTCATTTTTAAAAATTATTAAAATTTTTATTTTTTGATTAAATTAATTGAAATTTTTATTTTATTGAAAATTGTGAAATTATTATTTTTTTGTTGTGATATAAAGGGAATTGGGAAAAATTGAGATGAATAGGGAGGAGTGAACTCTCTCTCTCTCTCCAG